TACAAGCGGAGTCAATATCCAGGAAACTATTCAAAAATGACCAATCAGTAATGTTAAGGTCGTTATAAAGTTCAATATAGTTTGCTTTACGAAAATTATTTCTTTTGTTGTTGGAGACTGTAAAATTTTTTAACTTGAAAACTTTAGCTCGAAAGAGTAATGATCTACTTTAACAAAAGGAAAATCATACCGGTTAACCACGCAGATAATATTTGTAAATATTAGATGTAACAATCCATTATGGTCATTTAGGGTTAAATTAACTTGATTTAAGTCTAAAGAGTTTTTAAAATTAATACATTTTATCTAGCCCATATCATCCCCAAACGAACGGTAGTTTAGAAAGAAGCCACTTGACTTTAAAAGAATATTTACGACACTACATAAACGATAAAACAACTAATTGGGACGAATACGTACCCTTAGCCATGTTCACTTACAATACCCACTAAATAAAACAAAAATGTACTAAATTCACACCTTACGAACTACTCTTTGGTCATAAAGCTTTTATACCTAGTACTCTTACCTGTAAACCAGAATTTAAATATACTTACGATGATTATTATTTTAACTTAAAATTAAATAGGTCATTCCAAATAGCTCGAGAAAATATAATAAATGCCAAAGAAACTTCTAAAATGTATTATGATAGAAATGTTCATTCACACAATTTTAAAGTAGGCGATTTAGCCTATATCCTAAATAAAAATATTACACCTGGTATTAGCAGAAAATTACAGCCAAATTATAAAGGTCCCTATAAAATCATAAACATTCATCCTAATCAAACGGTCAAAATACAAATTAGTCAAAAGAAAACATCAGTCGTTCATCATAATTTATTTAAACCTTTTGTTCCATAAGATAAAAACTCTTCTCGTTCTGAAACTGATTAACATATTTACACTCCCGCCTATATCCGGTAATATCCCCTATATAAACCAAAAACTAGATTTTAAATCAGAAATATTTTATCAAGATTTAGGTCAAGTAAAACTAACCCAAGACTATTTTACACTCTTATCATTCAATAATATAAGCATTTATGAAATTAAATTAAAATTTGCCGAAAAAACGTTTTATATCTCAAAACCCTTATGCATGCACCCTAACGATAAAAATGTAACATTCAGACATTCTGAATTTGTATGCAAAGAATCTCTAGAATTTATAGAAATTCGACTTAAACCACCTAACAGGTCATGAACCTGATACCCGAAAAATGTCACTTAGAGTAAAAAGAGGATTAATTAACGGTGTATCTTATACATTTAAATGGTTATTTGGAATCCCCGATGCGGACGATGCAGAATATTATAATGACACAATTCATGCAGTAGTTAATCAAAATCAAGACATGCAAAAACTTTTAAAGCAACAAGTTCATATAATCTCTGAAGCGATCTCTGGTTATAATAGGTCAGCATTGACACTTAAATTTAGTGAAGAAAAGTTAAACGAAAATATAAAAATATTTAATAAATTTTCACTCAAGCATTATTAGAATAAATTCATTAACCTACGTTCAAACAGTAATGGATCATTTAAATTTATTATCTCAAATAACCGAAGAATTAGACGAAGAATTCGATGTATTTATTTTTTCAATAATATTTTCCAAACAAAATATCTTGCACCCTTCAATAATTACTCCAAAATCTTTACGCGAAGAATTATTGAAAATTAATAATAAAAGAACAGATTTAGATTTTCCAGTAGACCTAGATGAAAATGCAAACGTTTTTAAATATACGCAAATATGTATTTATGCAATTAAGATACCACTAGTAACTAAAGATTTGTATTAACTATATAATTTGATTCCCTTACCTGTTCAATATCAAAACTCTTCAATATACTCCTATATAAATCCTTCTTACCTTATCCCAAGTACGACAAGAACGTATTATGGAGAGATGTCAGAATTATCGAAATGCCAGAAGATATCACCATCCGAGTACATTTGTTCCAACATCATCGTACATCAAGGAAAGACCTACCTGCGACACGATTCTGAAACTTCAAAAACCTAAAAAAATCCCATCAAACTGCGACACCAAAACCATGAAGTCAGAAATCGAAGTTTGGCATCCCCTCTCAACAAATCAATGGCAATACATCTTAAAACAACCAGTCAATGGGACCATAAGCTGCGAAAATTATGGTGCTTCACAAATCACAGACGTTGTACTTTAAGGCTCCGGTATTTTTACATTATATCCGAAATGTAAATGCTACACTACATCCACGTTATTGACTTCAATTTTCAACCAAACGTCAAATTATACAAACTTTATACCTATACTGGACATCAAGAAAGACGATTACTGTATCAAGGAGCAATCCTACCTCCAAAATGAAGAAATGTCAATGAACTGAGTCATGCCCAACATAAACTCCAACAGTTCGACGACAAAACCTTTCATTATCAACCATTCCAAGTGGTACAACATGTTCTTCGGAATAATTGGCACATTAGTAATGCTTATGATATGCTACTATGTTTGTTGCCGATGTTGTCGTTGCAGATTTCTAAACTCCATCAAGAAATATTTCAACCCCGACCAATGCCGCCACCTAGTTTGTATCAACAGCCTCAATACTGTATCTGACAACCGAGTTAACCTGGATGATTTTTCACCTCACCGAAGAGGCTATCGTAGTCTTAACTCCGAAGCGGATGCAATGTCCATGCAGAACTTAGAACACGAAGATCCGTTAGCCTCGTCTTTTGAAGAAATCTTTTAAAATTTAATTTTATAATTATAGTTTTCTTAAGATATATAATAAAAATAATTCTATTTTATCTTAATTTTTTATTTTATATATTGTATACTTTAAATTTTAATTAAATCTTTGTAGTTTAATAAGTTTAAGATTGTATAACTTAATTTTACCATTTAGTGTTTCAATAGGATTTTTAACCCTTATCGAAACACTTAACGGGAGAGGATTGTTAGACCTTGTATATTTATTTGGTAACAGTTTGTTTTTCTAATGTATATTAAATAATCTTTTGGTCGTGATCTTTAGGGTGACAAAAAAATCCCATAAATTAAATTAATTAAAAGTTCAAAAAGTTCAAGTAATTATTTTGCATCATTAGATATTTAAGTTCAAAGACACCGCTTCTATTTTTCCATTAATTGATAAAAATTATCGCGCTGTATAAAAGCTAATTTTTGGAAATCAAAAGATCACTTACTACTTACTTTTCACTCACTTAAGATTTAAGTTCTCGAATATTTATTATTCACTTAATTTAAATGTAAAAGATATTTGCGATCTTACGAGTCATAGTGTTAATTCTTCGTATCCCAACATCACACTGAATGGTGCATTCTCAATATTGTGTTATCATATTAAACATAAAAATAAATATACCAAATCTGACTATTTTAAGAAGGTATGGTTTATAGCTAAGACGGAGTGGCAACGAAACAAAAAAATCAAGATGACACCAATTATAAACAAATGCGAGATAAATATTTTAGACTCCACATCTACCTCTTCTAGCTGTTTTAAATGCTCAACAAAAACGTTTGGGTCAGACCAGTTATCAAGAATATTTAAAGTTTTATCTAATGAAGTATATTTGATTGGTTTTACACAAGGCATCTTTTTTCGCACTGTTATATCCTTAGAATTGGATATTTTTGAGGCTCTCTTTACAACCTTCCTAAACAAAGGTCTAATGATGTTATCGAATTTTTCTGGGCATGCCTGATGACGTAGCCGACCTTTGGAATCACGATGGGCACCAGATACTTCCAACATTTGTTTATAGGCATGAAGATCATCATCGGTAAAATTATGAGGGTTCTTAGAAAACAATAATTCGCATAATAATGTTGTTTTAAATACATTATCATCCAGTATAATATCATGGCTTCCGAACGTTAGTTTCTTATCGCCAAGTCTCTATGAAGAAAATACCGCGGTCTGAATACTTTATTAGAATTCTTTCCATACCTATCTTATTATTTTTTAATAAATAAATTTTTATTGTTACTTATTGTGTTAATGTACACATAACGCCTTTTTTAGCTGGGGATGGTAATTCATTCATATCCAATAAATCCACCACCCCCTCATTTGGTTCTAGCAGGCAACGGAACGGAGGCAGTGGGGAAGACTCTAATAGCATCGGTGAGGGTGAGGTTGACGGCGAAGGTTCCGATATCGATGAGGGCATTGGGGAAGACTCTAATAAATCCACCACCCCCTCATTTGGTTCTAGCAGGCAACCTGACTCTAATAACATCGGTGAGGGTGAGGTTGGCGGCGAAGGTTCCGATGCTATTGGTGATGGTAGTGGGAAAGACTCTAATAATATCAGTGAGGGTGAGGGCGGTGGGGAAGGCTCCGATGCTATTGGCGAGGATAGCGATGAAGGTGACTGAGTTCTAAAAAGAAAAAAAAATTAAAACTTAAATTTAGGTTACAAACCTGATGGGCATAACCTCTGAACTGTCCATTGAAGTGATTATGATCTCTGACTATAATGTCATTCTGCCTAAAGATTTTTTTGCAGATATGACATGATGGAGTGGCATCCTTCAAGCCAATATCATTTTGCATGGGTATGTTAGTTTTTAATTTTAATTGTACCAGTTTAGATACTTCTGCAAGCTCATTTGCGAACCACTGTATACAATCGAGACCGCGATAGCTTTTGTAGTACGATAAATTATCATCATAATCATATTTAAAATAATATGCGGCGCTAAATGCTTTATGTTCCTGATATTTTAAAGACTTTATAGAAATATTTTCATTTATGGGTAAAAGAATAGATTCTATATCAGCATATATAATAAATGGTACTTTTTCTTGAAATTTTTCATTATGAAATTCAACAAAGTCATACTCAGGAAAAGAAATTTTGCTTTTGTTAATTTTTATACAATATTTTTCATGCTCAGTCAACTTTGCTTGTGCCCATTTCAAAATACATTCAAGGTCTAGATCAGTCAAATAATAATAATATTCTAAAAATGAACTCTACAAAAAAAAGAAGAAAATCAAATGACAGTGACAGATCAGAATATGGATATATAGAAGAACTAATAAAATCTTGGGATAATATGAGCGACATGGATGATTTTGATAATGAATATGACTTAATGCCTCCTTTTGAAGATAGAGCTCATTGGAATGTTTCTTTTCCTAAAGTACCAACACAAATTACACAAGGTAGCACAGTGAATATGGCAATTTTACCTAATTACCCTCACATAGGACCAGGAAATCCAATTTATGGCTCTAGCTCTAATGAAATGGATGAAATAGCAAGAAAGCATGATTTGGCATATTTGGAAGCCAAAAGTCCAATAGATGTAATGAAAGCAGATGAAATATTCTTAAATAATATGAAAGCATATGAGCCTCAAAGTGTGTATGAATGGATGGTAAATAAATTAAGTTATGGAGGAATTTATTTAAAATACAACTTTGAGCAAAAATATGGAGTGTTATATCCTTTTTTTGATGAAAAGCAAATAGGGAAACTAGAGTTTATTGATGAAAATTTATTAAAAATATGAGAAAATCAAGAAAGGAATAAAATTACAAAAATAGAGGAATTAGAAAATTTGAGTGTAAGTTCCTTAGATAGAATTAATTTAAATGAGTTAAAAGGAAACATTAAATATATTTGGAAAAAAAATTATAAAGCAAATTTTGATTCTTTGAGAATAGATATAGGCGTTACAAATGAATATATACAACAAAATATGGAACATGATGAATTACAAAGATATGAAAAAAATAAAGAAATATATTTAGAAAAATTTAATAATTATTATAAAAACTTAGAAACATTCGCAAACAATTTATTAATGACCTATCGATCAAAAGGTAAAGTGGCTGATGACGATTAGACGCTAAAAATAAACTAGAAAATTGGAACTCCCTAAACGGAACCTCTCGTACATATTATATTAATTATAACAAAAGGTACAACCTTGATCGTGCTTTGTCTACTGGTGTGTTTTTAAAACTTAGTGAATTAAAAGATAACCAACTTGATATGTACATAACTAATAATAAGTTGTTTATTGATAAGCAATATGCGCAGTTAGATAAGTCCAATATAACAAAGCGTTCTGTTGAAGGTTAGTGCTAACATATAAATTAATTTTACGAACTATTTTAAAATTAGTTTTCGTTTATACTAGCTCTACTAAACATTCAGGTATGTCTAAACAAAAAAAAGCTATATTGTCGCAACAATTAAGATATCATGGTATAACATGGGAACAGCATAAGTCAACTCCGGCTTATTTATTTCAAAAATCACCAAGTTTTCGACATTATATTATGAATAAATTTAACTTTAACAGTAAAATTACGTGGTTTAATGGTTCTGAAATGTCTCTTAAAGATTATTTATATTTAAATACTCCTACACAAATATTTATTGAAAGAGAATTACGGAAAGATGGTCCAAATACTATGCTTAAAAATTGGTTAATAAAAGGTAAATTTAATAATTATATTAATAACATTTAATTCTTGTTTTAGATTCCAGCGTTCCACCTGAAGATCCCGAAGACGTTACATTTGATGAAATATCTCAATTTTCCCAAGGAACGAAACGCACAAATACTGAAAATACAGAAACCGTTCCATCTAAAGTTAAAGTTATTGAAGAACCTTCAACATCTAAAATATCTGCAACTGTTGGACATAAAAGGCCATCTTCTACAGAAGCTATTGCAGACATCGCCGCTAAAAAAACAGCTGGAACCTCTGATCAAGGAAGTTCTTCTTCCGTTGGACCGCAATCTCAACAACAAGACCCAAATCCTGCAGGACATTCAGCTAATACTGGAGGACCAACTAATACAGAGGCAGGAATAAAGAAGGCTCAAATTACTGGTTCATTAAGTGAATTTAAGGTAAAAGATATGTCGGCAGTTAATAATCATAAAATTAGTAAATATACAAAATCATTTATTCATTTCTTTACAATAAAGAAGAAAGCCAATGCTTTTAAAGACGTCATGCAATTAACGTATAAAAGCGCCATTATTAATTTAATGGAAATTGATTTCAGTGATAATGACCTGTTTGATCAGGAAGACCAAAATTCATTATTTACTGTAATCCTTGATTTTAATTGCAAGCTGAACACATTAATGAAGGCAAAAAATATTGATGTTCCATGGATTCGTGTATTTCACGGAAACAACCCAGCTTAATAATGGATGAGAAATCAGACGTTAAAGTTGATTCTAAAACCGAGACTGCGGCCAAGGCCAAAGTTTCAAAGCCCGGGAAGCGCAAGGGAAAAGGCGCCAGCCAGCGCAGTACCGACGCCATGCGCGAGCGAAAAGGCCGCCCAATCCTAGACGCATACAGAGCAGAATTACGTAGAAAGTTGTTAGGAGATGAGACAGGTGAACTTGAGATAGCATTAAACAACATGTCATTAACTGTCCAACCACGTGCAACACCAGTTACCGTTGCTACAAGAGGAGTGGGAATAATTTGCTCAGTTGAATATTCCAGAATAAATATTGATGATGTAAAAAAAGATGGTACATTATTATATTGCATAATAGTTACATTACCTTTTTCTATAAAATACAAAACTTATTACAATAAATTTTCAACAATTTTAAAATATTGCGTTTTAACGTATCATTTAGCACTGTTAGAAATAGTTGAAAATTTTGAAGATGACGATTTGGTAACATCTGGTTGGCTTAATTGTTTCATTAAATATTTAAACGCAGGAAATTACGGTATTTCCTGGGACGACGAGTTATCCAGAGAGGAAGAGGCTCAATCTTACAAACGAAAATCAAGCGATAATTTATCTGGAGGATCAGCCGACGCAAGTTCTAGCAACAGTGGCATTTCAAAACCTAAAAAAACTTGTTTTTAAAAATAATGGCTTGCACTTATTATTACACTGGGGAAAGACATATAGTAAATAAGGATATATTGGAAAATAATTATAAGGATAAAATTTATCACATAGTTTGGAATAATATGTATGAGGGTATTTATAATAATTCTAGGGAATTTTTGGAATATAATAAAAAATTTGACGCTCCGTCATTATCTAAAAAGTATCATTGTAAAAAGGCTATTTCTTTTGTATTAAATGTAGATCCTATATCTTATGGTGATGTTGTTAAAAATAAGTTATATTTACTAATTACATTAATGCAAGGAATAATATATAATATTTTAAATAATTTAGAGACTACTCAAGAATACGAAATATTAGCAATTATTGAAAATTCAACAGTACGTGGTCTACATGTTCACTTTACATTTTTTATGAATGTTACTATTCCAAAGGCAATATAATTAAGTTACAATTAATACAATTAGTTAGTGGTACTACTGTAACGAGACTTAATTTAGTTCAAAATTACACTTATATACGTATAATGGTCTTTACGTAATTTAGAAAATACTGAAATTACAAATTATGATCAAAAAATAACAATATTTCAAACTGATCAATTAATTAAATCAATAGGATCTTATATAAATTATTTAAAAAAGGACGTTTACGCAATTTTAGGTACAACTGAAGAAATTATTAGTATGTTTTTACAATTTAATCGTTTACATATTTTTGATGCAGAGACTTTTCCAAAAAAACAAAAACGCAACGTAGAGGAAAATATATCTAAAATATATAGTTCAAATGAATTAGTTATTTTCCTAAATACTCAAATGCAAAAAGGAATATATTCTCTTCAAGACATTTTACGTAATCCTGCTAGTCAAGCATATTTACATATACCTAATTTAAATGCTATTTATAATTATGTTTACTTACAATTTATTGCCAGTTGTTACCACGAAAATAATATTTTAAAAATAATAAAAACATTTACAGATTCTCGTAAAAATTATGGATGTGCATGTCCAATATTGGAACTCTTAACTCGTAATAACATTGATTTATCTTTATTTTTTACTAATTTGTTCGAATGGTTAACTGGTAATTCAAAGAAAAACGCTTTAGTATTTCAAGGTCCACCGAAATGCGCAAAATCAACTTTTGCGCGTTTAATTTGGAATTTATTTCCAATTCCTTCTAGAATAATACCAGACGGATTGTTTACATTCGCAAATTTAATAAATTCCGGTTGTGGTTTATGGGATGAACCGTTAATTGATCAAACTAATGTACAAACTGTTAAATTAATAATGGAAGGAGATGAAAGCGTCCAAGTTGCTGTTAAGAATCAATCTTTTAAAACACTAAATAAAAGAGTCCCAATAATTATAACAACAAATAAAAATTTATGGTATTTTACATCGAGTGAACAAACAGCTTTAGAAAGTCGTATGATTCATATTGAATTTTCAGATCGTATTCTTGATATGTCAAAATTTTGTAAATCTAAAGAACATTATTGTACTAATATTGTTTCAGGACCGCAAAGTAGTGGCTTTACGCTTTTTCACTCATCGGAAAGTGTTTCCGATTCCGATGCAAACGAAAATGATGAATCGTGCACACGGTATCACACTTTTGAATCCGAACACGTTCTAACTTTAATTATTTTTTGTTTAAAAATTAATGAAGATAAAATTAAAAATTGCTTTAAAAATAACGCGGAGGAAATATTCGAAAAAGTAAATGCTATTCCTATGAGTGACTTTGATTATTATTTAATTGAATTTAAAAATTATCCCAATACCATAGATAATACTTTATAATTATATACTTACTGTACTTACTATTAAGATTATATTGTATATTTGGTGTATGTAATAAATATATTTTATGCTATGAACATTTCATTTAGTAAAAGTAGATTGGTTTATTGGAATAACGAATCTCACACTCTACAAGATACTGATACCAAGTGGGCTTTAATCAAAGTAGCGACACCAAAAAAGGAAAATGCCTTGCACAATTTCCATTCTATACCTTATAATACTTATGGTTGTTTTCTTTCTGTCAATGAGTATATATCATTATTACATAATAGTAAAAGTTTCAAACCAAAGTCAATTACTGTCAAAATTCATAATACAACACCTATTAGTGGAACACAACAAACCCAGTTAAGTTTTAACAATACTATTTATAGTATTTGTCCAGAATTGTACGATCAAAGTACCATTAGAGTTGCTAAAATTTTTGAATCTCAAGATAAATAATACTGGAGGACCAACTAATACAGAGGCAGGAATAAAGAAGGCTCAAATTACTGGTTCATTAAGTGAATTTAAGGTAAAAGATATGTCGGCAGTTAATAATCATAAAATTAGTAAATATACAAAATCATTTATTCATTTCTTTACAATAAAGAAGAAAGATAATGCTTTTAAAGACATCATGCAATTAACGTATAAAAGCGCCATTATTAATTTAATGGAAATTGATTTCAGTGATAATGACCTGTTTGATCAGGAAGACCAAAATTCATTATTTACTGTAATCCTTGATTTTAATTGCAAGCTGAACACATTAATGAAGGCAAAAAATATTGATGTTCCATGGATTCGTGTATTTCACGGAAACAACCCAGCTTAATAATGGATGAGAAATCAGACGTTAAAGTTGATCCTAAAACCGAGACTGCGGCCAAGGCCAAAGTTTCAAAGCCCGGGAAGCGCAAGGGAAAAGGCGCCAGCCAGCGCAGTACCGACGCCATGCGCGAGCGAAAAGGCCGCCCAATCCTAGACGCATACAGAGCAGAATTACGTAGAAAGTTGTTAGGAGATGAGACAGGTGAACTTGAGATAGCATTAAACAACATGTCATTAACTGTCCAACCACGTGCAACACCAGTTACCGTTGCTACAAGAGGAGTGGGAATAATTTGCTCAGTTGAATATTCCAGAATAAATATTGATGATGTAAAAAAAGATGGTACATTATTATATTGCATAATAGTTACATTACCTTTTTCTATAAAATACAAAACTTATTACAATAAATTTTCAACAATTTTAAAATATTGCGTTTTAACGTATCATTTAGCACTGTTAGAAATAGTTGAAAATTTTGAAGATGACGATTTGGTAACATCTGGTTGGCTTAATTGTTTCATTAAATATTTAAACGCAGGAAATTACGGTATTTCCTGGGACGACGAGTTATCCAGAGAGGAAGAGGCTCAATCTTACAAACGAAAATCAAGCGATAATTTATCTGGAGGATCAGCCGACGCAAGTTCTAGCAACAGTGGCATTTCAAAACCTAAAAAAACTTGTTTTTAAAAATAATGGCTTGCACTTATTATTACACTGGGGAAAGACATATAGTAAATAAGGATATATTGGAAAATAATTATAAGGATAAAATTTATCACATAGTTTGAAATAATATGTATGAGGGTATTTATAATAATTCTAGGGAATTTTTGGAATATAATAAAAAATTTGACGCTCCGTCATTATCTAAAAAGTATCATTGTAAAAAGGCTATTTCTTTTGTATTAAATGTAGATCCTATATCTTATTGTGATGTTGTTAAAAATAAGTTATATTTACTAATTACATTAATGCAAGGAATAATATATAATATTTTAAATAATTTAGAGACTACTCAAGAATACGAAATATTAGCAATTATTGAAAATTCAACAGTACGTGGTCTACATGTTCACTTTACATTTTTTATGAATGTTACTATTCCAAAGGCAATATAATTAAGTTACAATTAATACAATTAGTTAGTGGTACTACTGTAACGGGACTTAATTTAGTTCAAAATTACACTTATATACGTATAATGGTCTTTACGTAATTTAGAAAATACTGAAATTACAAATTATGATCAAAAAATAACAATATTTCAAACTGATCAATTAATTAAATCAATAGGATCTTATATAAATTATTTAAAAAAGGACGTTTACGCAATTTTAGGTACAACTGAAGAAATTATTAGTATGTTTTTACAATTTAATCGTTTACATATTTTTGATGCAGAGACTTTTCCAAAAAAACAAAAACGCAACGTAGAGGAAAATATATCTAAAATATATAGTTCAAATGAATTAGTTATTTTCCTAAATACTCAAATGCAAAAAGGAATATATTCTCTTCAAGACATTTTACGTAATCCTGCTAGTCAAGCATATTTACATATACCTAATTTAAATGCTATTTATAATTATGTTTACTTACAATTTATTGCCAGTTGTTACCACGAAAATAATATTTTAAAAATAATAAAAACATTTACAGATTCTCGTAAAAATTATGGATGTGCATGTCCAATATTGGAACTCTTAACTCGTAATAACATTGATTTATCTTTATTTTTTACTAATTTGTTCGAATGGTTAACTGGTAATTCAAAGAAAAACGCTTTAGTATTTCAAGGTCCACCGGATTGCGCAAAATCAACTTTTGCACGTTTAATTTGGAATTTATTTCCAATTCCTTCTAGAATAATACCAGACGGATTGTTTACATTCGCAAATTTAATAAATTCCGGTTGTGGTTTATGGGATGAACCGTTAATTGATCAAACTAATGTACAAACTGTTAAATTAATAATGGAAGGAGATGAAAGCGTCCAAGTTGCTGTTAAGAATCAATCTTTTAAAACACTAAATAAAAGAGTCCCAATAATTACAACAACAAATAAAAATTTATGGTATTTTACATCGAGTGAACAAACAGCTTTAGAAAGTCGTATGATTCATATTGAATTTTCAGATCGTATTCTTGATATGTCAAAATTTTGTAAATCTAAAGAACATTATTGTACTAATATTGTTTCAGGACCGCAAAGTAGTGGCTTTACGCTTTTTCACTCATCGGAAAGTGTTTCCGATTCCGATGCAAACGAAAATGATGAATCGTGCACACGGTATCACACTTTTGAATCCGAACACGTTCTAACTTTAATTATTTTTTGTTTAAAAATTAATGAAGATAAAATTAAAAATTGCTTTAAAAATAACGCGGAGGAAATATTCGAAAAAGTAAATGCTATTCCTATGAGTGACTTTGATTATTATTTAATTGAATTTAAAAATTATCCCAATACCATAGATAATACTTTATAATTATATACTTACTGTACTTACTATTAAGATTATATTGTATATTTGGTGTATGTAATAAATATATTTTATGCTATGAACATTTCATTTAGTAAAAGTAGATTGGTTTATTGGAATAACGAAGCTCACACTCTACAAGATACTGATACCAAGTGGGCTTTAATCAAAGTAGCGACACCAAAAAAGGAAAATGCCTTGCACAATTTCCATTCTATACCTTATAATACTTATGGTTGTTTTCTTTCTGTCAATGAGTATATATCATTATTACATAATAGTAAAAGTTTCAAACCAAAGTCAATTACTGTCAAAATTCATAATACAACACCTATTAGTATCCAGTCTGGAACACAACAAACCCAGTTAAGTTTTAACAATACTATTTATAATATTTGTCCAGAATTGTACGATCAAAGTACCATTAGAGTTGCTAAAATTTTTGAATCTCAAGATAAAGCTGAAGATTTTTATAGGTCTCATGATGGTACAGGATTTAAATCAAATGAAGCTTTAGTTTTACCATTAAATGATATCCAATATTTAATTCCTTATCCCACTAATTCTGATGCTTCTCCATGGGAAAATTCAGCAGAAGTTATTAATAATGTAGCTGGTACTCAAGGTACACCTAAAAATTATACTCCTGATCAAAATGTTGGTTTACAACCATTAACCTTGACTGATATTAAAAAAATATATTATCCAGATTTATTAATGGACAATAAACATGTAAAATTATTATATCCAGGTGAAAATTTATTAGAACATTTCATTGAATGTGACGATAACATAAATAATATTGATTGCAGTGCACCCGAATTTGCAGAACCTTTGTATATGATGGATTGTAGAGCCGGTGTTTCTAATCAATTGAATATTAAAAATAATCCCAAATTATTATTACATAATCGTGTATTCAATGTCATTCGAGGTCCATTAAATTATGCTAATTACGGAATTTACGACAGCAAAATAGAAAGAGATGCTAATGATCAAAAAAATGAAATGATTTGTAAACAATTAGTAGGTTATAAATTCAATGATATGTTTTCGAATGCTCCTCCGCAATTTTTTATTAAAGGTTTACCAATTACAGTTCAAAATAATTTATTGCAACATAGTTTTTCTGGATTTTTAACTTTAGAATTAAATTTAGAATGTGTTCCTACAGATCCTTATATACCTAGACCTTTACAATATCGTTTTGCAAATATTATGGCTGAACATCTTATAACTGGAGTTGGTGCAAGTGCTATACGCATTTATATGAAAAATAAATTACCAGAAAAATTAATGTCATCAACCATGTGGACAAATCCTTCTTTACGATTGAGAACTCCAGAATTATTGAAATCTACCACTTTTGCCAATTTGAATAATGCCCTATTTGATGAAACTGCATTTGACACTTTGAACGAAGAAGAATTACCTCAATCCAGATTTACATATTCTCTACATGGATCTGTACCAACAAATGTATTCAATAATGCTACTGAATAAATATTTTAATTTTATTTTTGTTTTTTTAACCTTGAATGTATTTTGAAATGGGCACAGGTCTATGGGTACAACCTCCCAACCCACCCACTAAAAAAATTATGGAAAACAGTGTTAAAACACTGTTTAAAGTTCAGTTTTAGGTTTTCTTTCGTTTTATTTCGAAACTAACCGTAAATGCTGAGTACTGCGTTTTTTCTAAATTTCAAGGTCATGCGAGCTATTCCTTTTCCTGTAGGCCCTTTTGGTTCGATTGTTTTAAAAATGGCTTTTTCAGACGATTTTACCCTAGTAGCATACTGCAAACTAACCTAAACTACCCTAATCTAATTATTATAGGGGTCCTCCCACCTTGGTGATGCAATTGGCGCGCGTAGCAATTGCGCCGGCACTCACTCAACAACTAACCATTTTTTACATTTTTAATTAGTATATATCTGAAAAAGTGGTGGGGAAATAAAAATTTAAAAGATTTACCAACAACGTTCTAGAACAGGATGTTGATAAGCAGTATCTGAGGTTTTTCCGCAAATTAAAATATTTGTTTGTTTGTGGTTTGACATTACGTAGTTGCTAGATAAAAATTTATTATAAAAAGAAAATATTGAAATATTTATTTATTATTAGTACAAGCAACGATGAGTGAATATAGTGAAAGTACTAACAGGTACACGCCGCCTGTCAATCTAGAAGAACATTTTATGGAAAAGTAAGTTATATTTTTTTATTTTTAACCTTAATTATTTATACCTTTTTCTTTTCAGAAATATAACTCCACCTCCACATCTGATGCCCTTAAAACAGTAAGTTATTTATTTAATGTTTATTACTTATTTATTTATTTTTTCTTGCAGAGCAATAAATTGGGCTTACAGGCGAGAATGCGAAGACTGTGGCAGGCTTTTCTGCTTTTGTTTTGTCGTCTACAGGTAATACACACAACTTTTTTTCTAATTTAAGTTTTAAATTTTTTTTTCTTTTTAGAACTCAGTCACCTTCATCGCTATCCTCGCCAATAGCATCGGAGCCTTCGCCACCGCCCTCACCCTCACTGATATCATTAGAGTCTTCCCCACTACCCTCACCAATAGCATCGTAACCTTCGCCGCCAACCTCACCCTCACCTATGTTATTAGAGTCAGGTTGCCTGCTAAAACCAAATGAGGGGGTGGTGGATTTATTAGAGTCTTCCCCAATGCCCTCATCGATATCGGAACCTTCGCCGTCAACCTCACCCTCACCGATGCTATTAGAGTCTTCCCCACTGCCTCCGTTCCGTTGCCTGCTAGAACCAAATGAGGGGGTGGTGGATTTATTCGATATGAATGAATTACCATCCCCAGCTAAAAAAGGCGTTATGTGTACATTAACACAATAAGTAACAATAAAAATTTATTTATTAAAACAACAGGATGTTGATAAGCAGTATCTAGGGTTTTTCCGCAAATTAAAATATTTGTTTGGTTGTGGTTTGACATTACGTAGTTGCTAGATAAAAATTTATTATTAAAAGAAAATATTTAAATATTTATTTTCAGTATAAGTTTATCGACTAAAGCTATTTTTTGAGTGTGTTAGTGCATATAATTATACAAAGTAAGTTATTATTATTAGTATTTAAATATGGATATTATTGATTTTTAGTTTTATATTTAAAGTTTTTTTTTTAAATTTTAGTATGGCATCATTTTTATTAAAAATTAA